AAACTGTGGGACTATTGTGATCAGTTGTTGATTTGTAATCCTGGTTCAACAATGCATATGGAGACAACCATTGATGATGTAATCGGCAAGGAAAGATTTCAAAGATTGTATATATGCTTTGAAACATTAAAAAGAGGCTTCAAATTAGGTTGTAGACGTGAGATTGGTGTAGGTAGATGCCATTTGAGGGGCCCTTACCCGAAAGTTTTGTTAACAGCAGTTAGAATTGATGCAAATGATTGCATCTATCCTATTGCACATGCAATAGTGGAGTTAGAAAATAAGAGTTCGTGGAAGTGGTTCGTAGAGTTTTTGAAATATGACTTGGAAATTTATGAACAAAAGAGTTGGACCTTCAGCAGTGACCAACAAAAGGTGATTGGTTTATTGCTGACTTGATTATTTTTTTGTATGTTGACACTTCCTTTTATGATAAACTGATTTTTTTTCCATATGTTTACCACCTATTTTATGATAAGCAAACTCTTTTTTTTTTGTTTGGTCTAAACTGTTAGGGATTAGGATCTGCCATTCAAGATGTAATTCTGGGAATGGAGCATAGACATTGTGTGAGGCATCTACACAACAACATGAAGAAGTTATGCCCGGGCCAATCCATAAAGGATAGGTTCTAGGCTTGTGCACGAGCATCATTTATGAGGAGGATTGAAAGCGAGATGGAAACATTGAGAGATTATGACCACAATGCTCATAAGTGGCTAATAGACAATACTCACATTCTGCATATTGGTCTAGATCATATTTTAGAGAAGCAGCGAAGTGTGACATACTCCTCAACACTCTAAGTGAGAGTTTCAACTTAGTCATTCTAAAGTCAAAAGTAAAGCCAATTCTAGGTAAGTTGGAAAATATTAGACTATATCTAATGGAAAGGCTATGAACAAAAAAAGAATGGATGAAGAAGAGTGATGAAATTTGTCCAAAAATTAAGCAGAAGTTGAAAAACGTCAAACATGAAGCTATTGCCAATATTGCAAGGCACTCGGAAGACAAGAGGTTTGAAATGAAACACATCTATAGTGAAACCTAGACAAGTACACATGCACCTGTAGAAAGTGGGAGCTCACTGGTCTACTATGTTGTCATGCATTATGCTGCATTTCACTTACACCTAAAAAACTCGAGGAATATGTGCACAAGTATTATTCCAGAGAGCCATATTTGACTGTTGATAAGTGACTAATTTACGTTATATTTGAATGATATTTTATGCTATTTTTAGTCACTTTGGCTATATTATAAGAAGAAAATGGATCATTTTGGCTATAATTAGTGTAAAATATTATTAAGTGTTTAAATGAGTTTTTTGTCACTTTTTACTTGCATTTTGTCCATAATTTGTATAGGAGTTGGAAATATACTTCATTTGGATGAAAAGGAAGTTGACAGTTTTGACATATCTTCGTATTTTAGCTATAACTTGAGATACATTGATCAGATTGAGATGATTCTTGAAGTCTTTTGAAGATAAGAGATAGATCTACAATTTTTATAAAGACATCAAATCTATTTTAAAGGTTTTCAAGGTCAAAAAGCCAAATTATAGTAGCCAATTTCTATTGGTCGAAGTTGAAACAAGGCATTGAGCAGTCAAGGGTATTTCAGTCATTTTTCAGCCTACACAAATCCAAATAAAGCGATTCTTGATGCATTGGAAAGCCAACTCAAAGGGCTACAAGTTTTATATTTGGTCAAGAGTTAATTCAGCTTCTATTATCAAGAAAAGTTCAGTTGAAGTTGAAACAAAATGGAAGCAATATTGAAGATTGAACAGAAATTGCAAAGAAAGGTAGGGGAGTAATTCGGCCGACAATCGAGCCGGATTATGGCCAGATTTTGGTCAGAAATGGCTGCTCTTCACTTGCACAACTTATTTCCTCTTCCAATAATTCATAACTATTGATGGACGTGTGACAACCACTTTGCAGTTATAAAAAAATGTTTGAAGCCTCACTTCTTGACTAAAGTCATCTATAAATAGCCATGGATTTGCAAGAACAATGAGAGCTTGGAGAGTGCAAGAAATACCATAAAAATGTAGTTCTTACATTTTTTTAGTGGTAGGATAGTTTAACTAGTAGTTCATCCTTCTAGTTTATTAGTTAGGCAAAGATGAAGATAGAGATAAAGAAGACAAGGAAAGAGCTCATGTGACAAGGGTTACTTTACCTTTTCAACTCTTTATCTTTTGTATTGGATTCTTAAGTTTAGTTAATATACAACTTTGGACTTGTTAGGACCAAAGGCAACCTAAGAGGGGGTGAATTAGGTTATTAAAAAAACTAATCAAGTTAAAGGACACTTTTTTGTTCAATGTGAAATTTACCTTCTTTTTTAGGTAACCACTTAATGAAACAATTATTAAGAGAGCAATATCGCTTGAGAGTAGAAGAGATAAGCAATTAAATTTCACATGATAGTAAGTAAAAAGGGAAGAATAGCAAACCAATTTGACTACCAAACTCCTCTTGAACTTGAAGATCACTTTATAGAACAACCTTTTTCAAGTTGATAAAATATAACCAATCTTTGTGTACAAGAGAAGGCTCACTTTTTCCTTGCCCCAAGGTTCACTTGGTCAAGTTAGGAAGTTTTACAATCACTCAAAATAATCCTCACAAAGTTACATTATTGAAGTATCTTTCTCACACAAAAAAAGCTTACAAGAATCTTATACCATAAAGAATACAAATTGTTCTTTCGAGAGTGTTTTCTCATTAAAACTACTCTTAATCATTTGTATTCTCAGTGTGCAAAAGTTATCTTTTTTATTCTAATCATATGCCTTTTATATGAGGCCAAAAAGGTGTTCATTATGACTTCCAACGGATAGAAAGTAGCTGAAAATTCAACTAGCCATTGGGAGTGTCGGACGTCCGATACAGTTGATGCTTGCGTCCGACAGTAGACAGAGAGTTTGAGAAATCATCTTTAATTATTTCGGATGTCTGGTACTTCCAATGCTTGCGTTCAACAGCAGACAGAGAATTTGAGAAATCATCTTAATTCTTTCAGACGTTCGGTACTTCCAATGCTTGCATCTGATAGTAGTCAGAAAGTATCTCAATTGTATCAGACGTTCGGTGATGGAGTTCTTCATGCGTCCGAAGGCAGGCAGAGAGTTTGAAAGATTGTTTTAATTCTTTCGGACGTTCGGTAAGGATGTTCTGCGTTCGATAAGAGCTGTACAGTTTATCGAACGTTTAGTATTATCTTTGTGAGCGTCCGACAGCTTTTGACTTCCTTTATCTTCTTTCAATTGCTCTTGTTTTTCGAATCAATTTGCTTCAAGGCTGAAAGAATTTCTTAGAAAAGATATTAATACTATCCAGTTATTTTATAAACATCAAAAGATAGGAATAAAGATCAACAGAATTCTGTAAGGATCGAAGACAACGTAAAAGGGGGTGAATTAGGTGGTTTAAAAACTAACCAAGATATGAGTCACTTTTTGAGAATTTACCCTCTTTTTCTAAAGAACCACACAATGGAGCAATTGATGAATAAGTACAAGTGCTTGGGAGTAGGAGGGATAGATAATTTATATTGCAAGACAGTAAGTAAAAGGATAGAATAGCAAACCACGTTTCAAACTCCACTTGAATTTGAATACCACTTTATATAGCAAAATTTTTCAAGTTGATCAACTTACAACCAATCTCTTGTGTACAAAGGAAGGATCACTTCCTCCTCGCCCCAAGCCGTACTTCGTCAAGCAAGAAAGTTTTACCATCACTCGGATAATCCTCACAAAACTACACTATTGAAGAAATAGAAACACACTTGAAAAGCTTATTGAAAATTCCACAACTAAGAGTACAAATTTTCTTTAAAGAGTATTCTCATACTTGAATCACTCAAGATCTGATGTAGTCTCAATGTGCGAAAGTTGTTCTAAGAGGTCGACTTTTTTTCCTTTTATAAGGGACCAAAAAATTCTTCAATTAATGCTACTAACGGATAGAAGGCAGATGAGAATCAACTAGCCGTTGGTGGTGTCGGACATCCGGTAGGCTAGTTTTCTTTGTCCGAACGCAGGCAGTGAGTTCAAGAAGTTTTTTTGAAATGTTTAGGACGTCCGGTACCTCCAGAATATGCGTCCGAAAGTATGATGTAAAACTGAAAATTCTCTTTCAATTCATTTGGACATCCGGTGCCTCCAATGTTTTGCGTTCGAAGTGTCGCAATGTTTATCGGACGTCCGATCGAGGTCAATTAGTTTAGAGGGCTTGGCTTATCATCTTTGGGCGTCCAAAAGTGGGTTTTTCATGCGTCCGAAGTAACTCAATGGTTGTCGGATGGCCAATGTAGTCTTTATGTGCGTCCGACAGCTATTTCAGCATTTGTTAGCCTTTGAACCTGTTCTACTCCAATTTTGGAAAGATCTAATCAGAGAATATTAGTAACATCTATTTTTTGTAATCATCAAAAGTTACGAATTGAAATAAACAATCTCCCCCTTTTTGATGATGACAAAATAATGGATGGAGTAAAAAGGTTTTAGGTACAGATTCCCCTAACTTAATGCATTCAGGGGTTATACACAACTTTCCTTCAGAATAATCACAACTCCCCCTTAAAATGACTCTCCTTTACATATAGATTACATATTCATATCTCCTCCTTTTTGTCATCATTGAATCAACCAATAAAATTATCCATATTACCAATACATTGGCCCACCAATATTGTCACCAGGTATTATCAGCAACACACATCCAAGCTGAATTTAGCAAAACTAATATTGGCAGAACACAACAACACTATCCATTCAGAACCAAAACCAAAATATTATCAACCAGAAACTAATATTTGCAGATAGATTGAAATAAACAACATTCAACATAAAGGATAGCTAAATAGTTTTACAGACTAGTAGAGGAGTAAAATCCTTTCAGCAAATGTTTTTAAGTGCAAAAAATGCAAAAATTTAATATGAACTATTATCCTAATCATGAAGTGCAGTAGCCTAGTAGTGCTTATATGGTAATCTTACAGGATCCAGGCCTTCTTTTATCCAGGTGAAACTGGGCAGGGTCTTCTTCCTCAGTGTCCTCATCCTCATCATCATCATCGTCTTCAGTCTCTTCCTCAGTTACCGGAGTTTTTTCCTTGTCTTGTGGTTGAGAACTGAAGATACGGTACTCTGGGGTAGCCTCAGTGGTTGGCTCATTCCTAAGTTCCTTTCGGTGTGCATTTTCATTTTCTGGAGGAATGGGAGGTACAAGCAGATCCTTTTGGCAACGAAGGTAGCTTGTTGATCAGAAGTCATGATCATCATCAAGCCATTTTCAAGAAGCAAGATATGTTGTTTGAAGTCATCAAGCAGAGAGATGACCTCAAGATTGGATGAAGTATACATAGAGGCTAACTTTCTAGGATGAATGGTAAAGGGTGTCACATACATAGACTCGTCTCAAGGAGTCTTAGGAGTTGCAGGAGTTTCATGAAGACCTTTTCTCCTAGATTCAGCGACAGTTTTTTTGTAGCACCAATGACCCTAAAAAAATTTTAGATTTTTCTTTCAAAATAAGCTTTTGAAAACACAGTTGATGCATTCTTTTTTCGAGATTTGCCAGTAAAGAGAATTTCAAAATAAGTAAAAATGGGAGTCAGAAGACAGTTTCCTATGGCTGTCAGTGCTGATTTTGAGTAGAAATTTACACATGACAAAACCAAAATCAATTCGGATTTTTTCAAAAAAACAATAGAACAAATAGAGTTTCATTTTGTTTGCATCAATTCTGTGACCATCACTGGGCACCAACAGATTTGAAATGATGGTAAAAATAATCAAGTTTTGAGAACTAAGATCTTTCAATCTTGCCTCAGCAGGAGTATTAATTTTGCAACATGAAAGTGATGGTATGCAGAGGGAAATTTTTCGTAAGAAAAGAAATTTGCAATTTTGCCTTTAAAATCATCTTCAATTTTGGTTTCCAAAATAGAGTTGATAATTTCAGGATTCAGTTCTATGTTAACAGAATTGACACGTGAAATGAGATCAGCATGTGATTTACCCTTTCTAAGGTTTGCAAAAAATTGATGAAGCATGTCAGGATAGTAGGTGTTCGGAATGGTCAGAAGATGGGTCCATTTTTGGAATTCAAAAAGGTTGAAAACAGATTCAAGGTCAAGCTTACGGAATTTGTAGGGAATGATGGTCCTTTGAATGATGAAGCCTTTCTGCGAGATCCATTCAAACCTCTCCCTGGCTTCATCATTGATGAACTTGGGCAGGGGAGTTGGTTCAACAGCAGTTTGGGTCCCTGGTTTTTCATTTTCTAGATACTTTTTTTTCCACTGTGCGGAGTAGTTGGTACAGCACCCTGGACACCAGACCTTGTCGTTGGTGACTTCTTGGTAGATGGTTCATCTGTCTGCTGTTTCTCAGCATTTTTCTCTGCATCTTGCTGCTTCCCAGAGGGATCAACAGTTTGCCTTCCTTTGGGTTGAGCAATGCTCTTTCTTTTGGCAATTCTTTTTCCTTTCCTGGGTGATTTCGTGGTGGTTACATCTACATTGGTAGGCTGTCCCAGTTCCTCTTCATTGCCACTTCCAGGATGCCCTTCAGATTGATGCTCCTCCATCTGCTCCTCGGATGGTTCAACAGATGCCTCTCTGGTTTGCGCATTTAGCTTTTTCCTTGCAGATTGCTTCGTTTTTTCACCACGATTTTTAGTTTTCTTTTTGGGTGATTTGATGAAAAGTTCGATAACTTGAACATTTTCATCCTCCTCATCACGAAGCTTGAAGGTGCGTCCAGCACTAACGGATCCTCCTCTAATCCTCACCATGATTGCAATGCAGTGTGATTTTGTTGTGTAATGTGATACAAATAAGTATCAAAAGATGAGGAGTGTAGTATGAACTATAGTGAATGCACGAATTGTCCACAAAGGGAGAAATTTTTGTGATTAGGGTTTCGAGTAAGAATTGAGATTTATAGTGCAGTTGGCGGTTGGGAGAAGTTATGATGCACAATAACCTCGCATTAGGTATGTAAAGGTATCGGTCAGAATGATTTCTTGGCACTTGTTCCGAGAAGAGATGAATTTGAATTTTGAAATTGAGAGAATATGAAGAGTTGCGTTCGAGATTAAAGGGTAAGAATGAACTGAATAATGCAGAGGGCTTCCTTATAAGACAATTTTTGAGTGTCAGATGGCCAAATGAAGTAGAGCGTCCGACACCTCCGTCCAAACCAAAATTTTTTGGATAAATGATCAAGAACACTGGCGAACGTCCATTCTAACACATCGGATGTCCGATAAAGAGTGACCAGAGAATTTTTAGAGAATTTTTTCTGAAACGCCCAATTTTATTCTCAAAAGTACAAATTGATCCAGTGGTAAGGCTTTTGTGAGAATATCAGTAATTTGATCTTTTGAACAGACATATTGAACGCAAATTTAACCTTTATGAACATGATCGCGAATGAAATGATGCTTTATGTCTATGTGATTTGTCCTAGAATGTTAGATGGAATTTTTTGTCAAATTTATTGCACTAGTGTTATCACAATACATAGACACACAATCATACATCAATCCAAAATCATTCAATATAATTTTCATCCACAATAATTGAGTACAATAAGCTCTAGCGGCAACATATACAGTTTCAGTTGTAGATAATGAAATAGCATTTTGTTTCTTGCTAAATCAGGATACTAAGTAATTTCTAAAAAAGTTACATATACCTCTTGTACTTTTTCTATCAACCCTACAACTGCTGAAGTCAGCATCAGAGAATCCACACAAAGGAAATTCATGACACTTAGAATACCATAGACCAAAATTCAAGGTTCCTTTTAGGTATCTAAAAATTCTTTTTACTGTATTTAAATGAGATTCTTTTGGATAAGACTGAAAACGAGCATATAAGCACATAGCAAACATGATATCTGGTCTACTAGCAGTGAAGTAGAGCAAACTACCAATCATACTTCTATACTTTTTTTCATCAACTTTTATACTTTTTTCATCCTTGTCAAGTTTGGTAGATGTGCACATAGGTGTTCCAACCTACTTTGAATCCTCCATTCCAAATCTTTTGAGCAGCTCCTTGGTGTATTTTGTTTGGTTGATGAACGTTTCATCTTGGGTTTGGACCACTTGGAGTCCAAGGAAGAAATTTAATTCTCCCATCATGCTCATTTCAAACTCTTTTTGCGTGATATTGAAAAAAATTCTTGCACAAGCTCTCATTAGTAGCACCGAATATAATATCATCCACATATGTTTGCACAATTAAAAGATCATGCGAACTTTACTTAGTGAAAAGAGTAGTATCCACAATACCTCTTTTAAACTATTTTCAATCAAAAAATTAGTCAAATGTTCATACCATACTCTTGGAGCTTGTTTTAGTCCATACAAAGCTTTTGAGAGTTTAAATATATGATTTGGATAAATTTTATTTTCAAAACCAGGAGATTGATCAACATATATTTCTTGATCAATAAATCCATTTAACAAAGCATTTTTAACATCCATTTGAAATAATTTAAAGTTCTTGAAACATGCAAAGACCAAAAACATTCTAATTGATTCCAGCCTAGCTACGGGTGTAAATGATTCATCAAAATCAATTCTTTCTTCTTGAGTATATCCCTTGACTACATGTCTGGCCTTATTTCTTACTATTTCACCTTTGTCATTAATTTTGTTTCTAAAAATCCACTTTGTGCCAATGATAAAATGATCTTTTGGTCTAGAAACTAATGTCCACATCTTGTTTCTTTCAAATTGATTTAACTCCTCTTCCGTAGATAAAATCCAGTTCTCATCTTTCAAAGCATCAACAACATTTTTGGGTTCAAAGTGTGAAACTAATGCAAAATTATCCATTAGTTGTTTAGAGGAGGAACGAGTTCCGACATTTTCGGATGGATCACCAATGATGAGCTCCTTATGGTGGTTTTGAGCAAATTTTCAAGCTCTTGGAAGATCGTTAGGTGTACTAGTATCTCTGTCACTGTCTTCTTTGCTAGATTGTCTTGAGTTTCATCTTCCTTTGAATCATTTTCTGGTGAAGCAATGCCTTGGTCAGTGATTGTAAGTTTCTTTAATTTTTCTTGAATACCTGCATCATCATCTTCACCACTACTTATGGAAATGTTACCATTAGATTCATCAAAAGTGATATGTATAGCTTTCTCTATAACCAAAGTCCTTCGATTGTAGACTCTAAATCCTCTCTTATTCTCACAATATCCCAAGACAATTCTCTCATCAGATTTGTTATCAAACTTTTCGAGATATTCCTTGATGTTTAAAATAAAGCATTTGCAACTAAAAATTTTAAAGTATCCAACTACAGGTTTTTTATCAAACATCAGCTCATAGAAGGTTTTGTTCAAGATTGATCTTAAAAGAACTCTATTCATGATATAGCAAGCTATATTTATAACTTCAGTCCAAAAGTATTTTGGTAAATTACATTCACTAAGCATGGTTCTAGTAGCTTCTTGAAAAGTTCTATTTTTTCTTTCAACAACCTCATTTTGTTGGGAAACTCTTGCAATTGAAAATTCATGTGTAATATCATTTTTGTTACAAAATTATGGAAAGTCACAAAAATGATATTCTGAGCCATTGTCAGTTCTGATTTTGATGATTTTGAATCAGATTCTGAACTTTTGCAAATAGTGAAACAAAATTTTTGAAAGCATCATCTTTGTGTGCAAGAAACATTACCCAAATGATCTTGAATAATCATCATCAACAACAAAGCAAAATTTTTTGCCACCTAAACTGGTAGTTTGTGTAGGACCAAATAAATTAAGATGTAAGAGTTCTAGAGGCTTTGTAGTAGAAACATATTTCTTCGGTTTAAAAGACACTTTGACTTGGTTTTCAAATTAGCAAGCATCACAAATTTTGTCCTTTTCAAATTTGATTTTTGACAGCCCTCTAACAAGATCCTTTTTGAAAATTTCTTTTAGCAGATCCATATTGAAATGACAGAGCCTTCTATGCCACAGCCAGGGGTCCTCATTTGCTGCTTTGAGACAACTAAGGCTAGAAGAATCAACTTTTTCAAGGATAACTACATAAATGTCATTTACTCTTTTTCCTTTGAAAATAGTGTTGAATTTTGAGTCAAGAACAAGGCATTCATACTTTTTAAATAACACAAATAGATTTCTATCACACAATTGACTAATACTTAACAAATTATAGCTCAAATTGTCAACTAAAAGAACATTGTAAACAAAGGTTTGACCATTCTTACCAACAGCACCAATTCCAATAGTTTTGGCTTTGTTATCATCTTCAAATGTTACCTTTTCGCTTGCTTTTGGCTTGAGATTGATGAACTGTGATGGATCACCAGTCATATGTCTTGAGCATCTACTATCTATGAACCACTTTGATTCCTTAACAATGTTCCCCAGGTTTACCTACACAAAGATCCACAAGATAATATTTGGTACCCTTTATTTTTTGCGTCCTTGAGAGTTAGCATTATATCTAACCATCCACATGCATCTCATGCCATTTCTCATATTTTTCTTTACATAACAATTGCTTTTTATGTGATCAAATTGACAACAAAAGCTACACACAGTTAATGAATTATTCAAATGAACAGGTTTAATAAATCTTATTTGCCTTCTCCTTTAGATAATAAACTCATTTGCACTATGATTTAACCTTTTTTTATGAGTACCACAATGAGATTTTGTATCATTCCTTTGAAAATAGTTTTGTTTCTTATATTGAAGCATCTGACTAAGATCATCCATTCTTCTTTTCAAGTTACTTTGTTCATTTTTTAGCATGTCACAGAAGTTTGTCTTTTTATCAAGTTCAGCATGCAAATCATTTTCAATCTTTTTTAGGTTCTCATTTTTATTTTTCAGACATTTATTTTGTCAAAAAAAGCTTGCATTGTCTTGAATCAAAAAGTTAATTTTCTGTTTTAATTCCTTGTTTCTAACATAAGATTCTTTCAAACTGTTATACATTCTTTTCATAAAAGAGTTAACATCATCATTAGATTCATTATCATTATCAGTTTTAGAGTTACAAGTAGTTACCTCTTCATCACCAATGGCCATGAAAGCCATTTGGGCAGACTTTTCTTCTTCTTCGACTTCACCTTCTAAATTGTTGTCATTCCAGGTAATCTGAAAATTGTTAAACTTTGATTTTCGTTCAACCTTGCTTTCCTTTTTTTTCTTTATTGGACATTCATTTCTGTAGTGTCCAAGTTGGCCGCATTCAAAGTACTTATCAGTTTATTTTTTGTTGAACTCTAGCTTTCCTTTATTTCTCAGGTTGTTGAACTGATTTGGGAATGAATTGCTTAGTCCACCTTTTCTGAATCTCCTCTTGTTGAGTATTCTTTTGAAATTTTTCGTGATGAGTGCAATATCACTGTCATCACCTTCCATGTCATTTTCATCTAAGGAGGCTGAATCATCTTCATCTTATGAGGCTTTTAGAACAATACTTTTTCTCACTTTTGTATCTTCTTCTTCTTGCACCTTGGACTTGAGTTTCAGCTCATAAGAGGTTAAAAAATTAATAAGAGATTCAATGAGTAAGGTATTTAGATCTTTAGCTTCCTCAATGGCAGTCACTTTACTCTCCCATTTCTTGGATAAAGCATTCAGAATTTTTCTGTTTTTCTCACCTAAAGAGTAATCCTTTTCAAGTACTTCTAAATCCTTAATAAGATCATTGAATCTACAATACATTTTGTCAATATTTTCATAAGATTTCATCTTAAAGGATTCATATTTAGTGACCAGAATGGACTTTTTTTGTTTTCTCTCATTCTCACT